GTTTAAAAATCAAGAAAAAGTGCGGTTAACTTGAACTGTTTCTGAGGGCGGAATTATTCCAGTAGTTGGAAATGCAGCAAGACGTCTTATAGCATTCGTTTTTAGCGCCCACACCACTGGCTTTTTGTAATTATTGGTGAATGCAAGTATTACTGGCCCAGTATGACAGCTCCAAATCATCACCTGTCAAATTTTTCAAATAAGTCAAAGCTATTTTTTTTGAATCAATAACATAACAGACCATTTAAGCAGGACGAGAATATAACAAAATCTACCTGTGAACTGGGGTATGAAACAAGTCCTTCAATATTACTTGCCGGATTTTCCATACAATCCGTTAGTTGATGATTCTGAAGTAATTCTATTACGAAATCTATAATATCAATCACCGGAATTCAGCAAACAAAAGAATGAAATAGTTCACCGATTGATGGTTGTGGATTTCTACAGTACTAGGGTTTCTACAGCACAGTTTCTACATTTCTACAGTGCTGGGGGCTGCACTAAATAATTAGGATGGCCTTTGAAAACTATAGCCTCTAGTGTTTAAAACTTTCATAAATTAGATTTTTGCCAACCTCATTAAACGTTCTTCCAGTTAATGTCAAACTTTGTTCCGCAGTTTCAGTTCTCTCATCTTCAGCCAATCTTCTGCTTCTGGTGGTTTTTGATGGGCATGACTGTGTTGCTGTTGAATGTATCGTTGTAGGGTTCAATCTTGTAATACTCAAGCCAGTAGCAGTACACTAAAATCATGAAAAACATTTATTCATCATTTCTTCCTCATATCTTTTCATTGTTTCTTAAAATTTCAAAACTTCTCGTCAACAAATTTGCATAAATCATCCAAAAATTGCCCGCACGACACTTACATTTTCTTTTGGTATTGTTTTAAGATTGTCAAGCATAGTTCCCCCACATCCCACAGTATCAAAAGTGATATCTTCAGATGTACGTCTACATCGTGACTGCTTATTCGCGATCCATTCTCTTGCATGTTGTTTCATTTGACTCAGACGTCTTGGGCTTCCAGAAAGTGTATTATCAAGAGGTACAGACTAAAAAAACAGATGGTATATCAAAAAAAAAAAAAAAACAACAACCGGAACCCAAATTTATGAGATTGTGCCAGATTATAGGTCGACAGTTGCTAATGAAGAAAGTTCAGAAGTTCAGAAGAATCAAACCTTCCTATCAACACTTCCCATCGTACAACAATGAAATAAAAGCATTAATGTCACTGTTTTAATATAGGAATAACCACTGGTAGAAGCATATACGGTATCACAAGTAAAAGATATACCACAGATAATCCAATAGACAATGACCGATTTCTAGATATTAAGAAATTGACATTTGCAAGATGAACGATTGAAAGATTTATGCATTTGAATTTTTGACACTCATTTTATTTTACTGTTGCTGTTTAATTTCCTTATTAATCATTTTCTTTTAACTAAGTTGAAGGTTAGATAGAAGTTAAAAAACGAGCCTTAATGATGCCATTTTTGGTAGCCATCTGGAAATAAGTTAAAATTCCAGGTGGTAAAGTGCATAATACATTGCATATAATGAGTGAATTGCCGCTCAATAGATATATTATAATAAGTAATAATAAGGTTATGAAGGTATTGCTGTGATAAAAAAGTTCCACCGTACTCATCATATCTGCAATTACATCTCTCAGTAGAGTTGGTATATTCAGGTTATAGAGAGGGATAGAGTTATGCAGGATTTGAAGCATTACTTCCTCGCAATGATCATTTCCCTACATGAACTTTTGCTCGAGGAAGTGAGGATGACAAGATGTACGAATTCTTTTACTTCAAACTGCTTCCACATATGTGAAGATCGGCGAAGTGGAAGTAATTTACATCTGGGAGATTCCACATCGACCGATTCCTCTCGGGACGATGGTGAAGCTGTAGTGGCGGTAGCAAGAACCATAAGAGCAAGCAGTTGCAACAACAAATCTTTTACAATGACATCTTTAAATTGTTGCAATTCCTTTTTATATGCTGATGTGGACACACTCATCAAAGGTAATTATGCGCCAATGGCTAGTAAAGGAGTGTGATTACTTCTGAAGTTATGAAGAAGCACTACAGAGTTTTGGAATTGGTCAATTCATCAGAGCCTTTCATTATTCGAATTAGATATTAATAAATTCCCCTCCCACGGAGTGGAGAAGGTCGAAAAGAAGCAGGTATAGAAGTAAGGACGAAAAACTCTTCCCAATAAAGGATAGAAAGGAAGAAAAGTCCATGTGTACTATCGATTTTACCATTGTATCAGAAGGAATAAATGCAACAAACACTTCATAGCTCTCTTCTTATTCATAGACAGACGGCGGTCGAAATATAGAAGTTAGGAAGGGTATAGACATAGAGGAGTATGGTGAGAGTATAGGAGGAGAGAAGTAGAAGGCGGTGATGTATCAGGAGTTGCTGTTGTTATTGTTTGATGTTAGATGGATGGATTGCTCAATTTGTCCTTCTGCAACCTTCCTGTTGTTTTCGTAGGGCGCATTTGTAGCAGTGTACGAAGATCAATAAGTTTTCTTCGTTTCAAAATGTCATCGTTAGATTTGCGATAGGTCTGAGAGGACGGTTTGATGGGTTCTGTTCGTCCTTCAATCATTCATATTCAAATATGTTTCCAATATATCATAATCATCTCATTTTATAACCAGATCAGTTTCAAATTTACATATCTCTCATTGCCGTATATTTGATCTCGACACATGAATCATTTGAGAGAAGACTTAAATTCGTTTGGTTCGGTTTACCTTCAGTATACAAGATCATTTCTTACACTCCATTGAAAAATTCATTTATCGCATATCGCAGTTTACAACATTTATTCCTCTTTGCTATGACAGTCTTTGAAATGCTGCTGGACACAAGACAGTGATACCATTGCTAAATTGTCATCATGGCACATTTATCATTACTTTTTCTCTCATTCTATTTTTTAATGACTGTGCATTCTTCCACCATAGAATATTATAATTTTGAAAGATTGATATTTTTCCTGATCATATATTCCCATCTGTTCGTTTCGTTGTCATTTTAATTCAGTAAGAGACTTAAGAAATTAAAGAGAAAGAAAAATGAATGAATTTGGCATTTGTCAATTTGCTTCATTGGAATTAAGCATAGAAGCAAAGGAACAGGACAATACCAAAAGCTACAAGTAGTTGTTTCATTGCTCTGTTTGAAGATGCTTTTGATTATCTCGAACATTATTTCCTAATTTAACATCAGAAATGGTTTTTTTTTCCTACATTTAGCGACTTTATATTTGCTAAAATAATTTTTCAAAATGCTCATATACAATGGACTCTGTAAAGACTGGTATTTATAAGGTGCAGACATGATATTTCGATCCTGTTAAATTAAATAAGGTGGCTAATTTTTCTGAGGTGTAAGGAATGGTAAAAAATCGGTAATTCTCCGGTAACTCATGACTTTACTTCTTTTTGCTATTATTCCTTCTGTGCAGTCTTGATTGGTCTTACAAATTTTCAGAATTATAAAATAGTATGGGAGATCGCTTATCTCTCATTTCAAGTTCTCCATTCCAATGAAATTACCACCATAACCGATACCAGCCTTACCTGATGATTAACTGTAAATGGGGTTAACGATCAACAGGATAAGTACATTATGAATCACTTGGTTTGCAACAGGATTTGTAATGTCTAACCACCTGTTGTATTTATTACGTCTTTGATAAAATCCTATCGGTATGAATCGAGTTCAGTCGTTTTCCTTATCATCTTTTCATTATCTATCAAGATGACACCAAGTTTATAAGCGTCTATCATTTGTCGCATTTATAAAAGGGTTTATTGCAAGCAGTTAGGTATAAATGGTTCTTGATAAGTTAGACAAGTGAAAATAAAAAAGAATGAAGACAAAAGATGAGCAAGTATATGTTTGCTGAGTAATCAATTAACGATTCTGACGTTCAGCAACAATCATTATTAATTTCAAAAGTGGAAAAAGTTTGTCTGACAGGACAAATAATGCCAAGTGGAATGAAGGATATGAAGCAATACGTCTATCTGTCTCTTCTCGGATCATGAATTCAAGAAAATTCCTGGTAATCCTGAAATTTACAAGTTTACGAGAGCATCGCTCCTTCAACAGTAAACTTTCTTCCTGTCCCTCTCTCTTTCGCATGATTGTTTCCTGATGGAAAACTATAAAACTTGGAACAAAATCACATATGTTAAGCTGAAGAAACAAAACGGATGAATGTCCGGAAACAGCTGTTCCTGTCATCCTATCCGTATTGCTTCTGCCTCTCTCCTTTGAACTTTTTTTGTCAAAATATGTTTCAAAATTATCTATTATCTATAATTATTGCACGTTTCATTCAATTTCATTGTGTTTGTTAGCACGTTTTGCCCTACCTCCCATTCGCGATTCTACAAATGCGATCTTCCTTCAACAAAATGTCAAATATCACCTGTTGCCCTTCTTAAACGCAATCATTTCTTCTCCACTTCACATATTTCATCAGTGAACAGTTTGCAAATATGTTGTTACGATGCAGCCTACAGCACCTCTCTTAGTGTTCTTAATGTACACTTACCCACGTGAGTATTTGCGTGTCATCTCGGAGAGACGTACGTATGCACGATTGTTCGCTGAAATCAGTGGGTACATTGCTATCGATGGATATGATGTTTTTGCATCAAAATAGCAATATATATTGTGCTTTTACTATTCTTTTCACTGACCGTTTATCGTACTTTCTGGTTTAAATAAGCAGGCAGTGACCTTTTGCTGTGAATTTGTGTTTGTCAAATTATGTCAAGATTAAGACATACTGTTTTAGAATTTTAAAATGACTAATATGAAATTTTGTTTTACTTTTTTGTTGACTTGTTTGAATATAAAAGAAATCAGTTGGTTTCTTATCTTTTAATTCATTTTCATGTTTTTATGCACAGCCACAACTGGACTCACGTTACGAAGTGCTGAATACCTACCGTTCTCTCTTCTTTCCATCTCCTCTTGTGCCATTTTGTCCTTAAACTGATCACCTGATTCTTTCTCATGAAAAAAAAAATCCCTTTCTTCGTTTTACTTTGTTCAGTCATTTACAAGGAAAAACATCCTGTACCATTCTGATACTTGTCACATCTCCTCTTCATTTGCAGTAATTTTCATACATCTCGTTGAGATTCTGTTATCTCTTCTGAAACTTAGCTACTTGCAGAGTTTGATTGGACGATTAAGCAGGATTTAAATCACCTGCAAGAGAGGTAAATATTTTAATTCCTCACTTTTATGCTATCCCTTCTTTTTGTCCTTAGTTTTACCAGAGAAGCTGATATACAATATTGCATTGGTGCGCTTTCTTTTTGTATTTCCAGTATGCTGGACATTCAACTTTCATTACTTGGTCACTGAAAGCTTCCGTAAGCCTGTTTCAACTCAGAATGGCGGTGTATACCTCGGAGGACTTGGCTTTTCAGTCAGATGAAAATTGAAAGATCTAGCGGAGATTTTCCTTAAAATTTGAATATGTTTTTTGAAGTCAACGATGTGTATCGCAAAGACAACAACGACTGTAGCTCAACGCTCGCTATGCAACAAATTACCTGTGAAACAGCTGGTTGTACCACTTCGATCCAAATGTACCACATTCATTGAGGAACCAATCTACAGACCACGCTTCAGAAAGCAGGACTGGGAGCAGAGCTCATTGTGGGGAAAACTTTCCGGCCGGTATGTTCTTTTAGTAATTTAATGTTCAAATCTGGATTCTCATTTCATTGGTTTCAGATTCAAGCCTTCATTGTATTTGTTTCGAATTTTCATAATTTATAGTGATTATCCAAAATTTTTTCTCTATGTGGTTTCTAGGTAATGAAATGGGAAGTTACTGGATACCAAACGCTACAAGTCGGGTTAGGAATAAAATTGGGACTAATTAAGGTGTAGTTCCTAAAGTTGATTTTTTTTTAAAATAAGCTGGTATATGGAACCTCATCCGTCCACAATATACCATTTTGCAAGTTACAACCTAGAACAGTGGTTCCCAACTTTTCCTTTACTACGGTTCACTTTGACTTTATTTTTTAATTTGTAGCACAGAATTCGAAAATAATAGGTTCTGTTAATTTGCCAATAAAACTTAATCAAAACCTTTGACGTTTTGGTTAAACTTAGAGCAATATTATAATATAAAGAAGATGGAATGTGGGAGCAAAGTCGCAATGACAAAAAACAAAGTCAATTTTTTCCTTCATTAAAAATTTTTTACCCACGGTGCCGCCCTTTTGGGCTATATTTTAATTTTCATGAGCCACCAGTTTGTGAGCCACTTTTTTAAAGCTGGTCATTCAAAAAAATATATGAAGGTCTTGAAGTTCTATGTATCTTGTCAATGAGACGATTTCATAGTAATGGGAGGTTCGTAGCGAAAAGATGAATGGAAGCAAATAATGTTTCAAAGGATTGCAAGCAAGGCAAAAAGACCACAAGGTCAGAATCACGAAGAACTGTCTTGCTTTAAATAACGGACCAATTCTACCTGAATCTTCTGATTCAATGAAAGGATGGTATCAAGCGGAACCTGGAATGATTTGGTGTAGGGTGATTAATATGATTTAATTTGTGTTTGTCTTTCGTGCAACTCACTAGTAGTCACTCGTAAAGAAACTCGTTTAAACGTGGAGTTGAAAGCAGTGCAGTAGTACAAATTATTTTGAAAAAATTTTTTTTTAGAAAGAATTAGTTCTTTCCATATTTCATTTTATTTAATGTTTTTCAAGTATTTCATTTTATTTGCAGTGTATATGATGCGTGGCGTTCGTCATACTTCGGGAAGCGGTTTGCCTTTGGTTTAGCATTCGTCTGGTATATGTTTCAGGATTTAACAAATCAATATGTCTTCATTGATGGTTATTTCGTTTTATTTGATGTAGTTATTTTTCATGCCTTAATATTCTCTTGAAAACTGAAAAAAAATCCTAAAATTTTATTATATAAAATTTATTTTTAGCTGTGAACAGCAACTTTGAAGAGTACAAGGAAGAAAATGAAGAAGCAATGGATGCTTGTTCGTTTTGTAATTCTTGGAAACTTTTTTCATTATTAATGACTTTTTCTTTTTCGAAATTTCGTTGCTACAGATAATCTTGATAACCCGATCGTAAGGGTGAGGGAAGTTTCACGCGCTTCAAAAAAAATGTTTTTACATCGTTCGGTGTTCTGAAATAGGATATTTTAACACAAAGCTATGATTTATTGAATTCACACATGGGGTTGGTTTTTACCGAAGTAATCTGTTTAAAGTTCAGGACGCAAGTTTTTTGTTTCAAAAAATTTGGAATAAAAAGATTACTTGACTCGCGAGTTGTTTCCCTTTCCGCTCACGAATATTCTCAGAAGAGGGAAAAAATTAAAAATTTCAGGAGTGGGATGGTCTGTCGCAATGTACCACGGACAATTGATAATGGTGACGGTTCAGTCGAAACTCCAGTAATAAATTAATTGATCAATTTATGTATTTAAAGTTTTGGGTCTCCGAAAGATTGAAATTCTTCATATCTTATTTTGCTGCTTTCACTTCTGTCTTACTTTTGGATGTATAGTGGAAGACAAGAATGAAAGTGTTTAAATTAGAAATAATAACAAATAACAATCCATTATGCATTAGTTTTTTTTGTTGTAATTCAAATAAAGCGATCACCACTGTATGTCGATTATCACTTCAATATTATCGACATAACAATTTCTTTTCATTCCCTTAGTTACTAACCAATTTCAAAAGACGACATTATTCATACATTTCTTATGATATATTGGTTAATTAGTCTATATTTTTATCGTAGCAACTTTTAATTTAGTTTTAGAATTTCGAAGAATTCATTTGTTTTTATAACTTAATATTATTTCGGCGATCCAAATCTTCTTACAAATTTTTATATTCCCTAGCAAATTTTCCTGGAATTTCCATAGCAATGAAATGGTAGTAATCTAGTAATTTACGCAAATCGAAAACTTAATACTTCTTACTGAAATACATCAGAAATTCTCATTTATTTCACTCGAGGGCAATATATTCGTGAGACGAACACTTTCTCAGCGGAAAAGTGTTTTATCTCACGACTTCAGCAACCAATTCTTTATATTCATTGCGAAGCTGTGTGTTTCGCGGTAATAAAGTAATTGGTCTGCAATGGACGTTTAAATCAGGTTTAATTCAGTTTAATTCAGGTTTTTAAGTAGCAGGGTTTCACGGTGCAAACTCTGGAACGCTAGTAGTATGCTGTGTAAAGTGTAACAGTGCCGCGGTCTGTTTACAGATCCAAGTAATTGGCATTAAATGTTGAGCCAAAGTTCCAAAGTTTCATACTATTACAATCTTTGTCTTCTGCTATTGCCGATTCCTTCCCAACTAAGCAAATTCCTTAAAGTGAATGGAAAGTCAAAGCGAAATTTCTAATTGGTCAAGTTTTCATTATTATCGTGAGATCCGGTAAAAATTGCAGCTCCTATCTGTCATACATGGTCGTCAGTATGAATTGTTTATCGTTGAGGAAACAAGCCGTGATCGGTTAATTTGTTCCCCAATACTATGTTTATGAATATTCGGGCATTATGGGTTACTTTTCAGAATAGAATTCTGATGGAAATCCTGAGAATGGAATAGAATTCTGAAATTTGTGTGTAGCCGATCAGTAAAAAATAGTACGCTGGCCTTATAGTATTTAATTTAACCATTACCTGAGGGCGGTCATGTTCTAGCCTCATGAATGAACAACCAAAAATTCCTGAACTGAATTATCTGTGGATATCAAAACAACACTGGAAATTATTACTCACACAAACCAGCAAATGACAGTTACAATTTACCATTTAAGAAGGTCAACATTCGATAATGTTAATATCGAGTCGACTTCTGATAGGAGATTGTTACAAATACCTCGACTCGACGTAGACAATTAATTAGCACTAACATCTTCACATCAAAATACAGTTAATTAACTCTTGTTTTGCGCAGTCGAATGGTTGATGTTAGCATAGTCTTACCACCTCAATATCAGTCATTGCTATTTCACAAAGAAATCAATTTTGGAGAAAAGGTAGGTTCTAAAAGTGAAGGAAATGGAAATCTTTTAGTCAGCAATTAAATGTGGAGCTTCCCGGAAGTTCAAATTATCCGAATATGAATTTAAGGTAATTAGCAGCTAATCAAATGGACAATTATTGGCGCAGTTAAGACTAATAAATCAGAAAAGATCTGTTCTAGCCAGATCTATATTGAGACTTTAAAAGTGATTGGAACAAAATAACCAGCAAAAAATTTCCAAATTTTACAAGAATTTTGATTTGGATTTATGCTCGTAAAATAAGAGGTCCAAGAAATGTAGATTTTTTTAAATACAAGAAGAAATGTATACATTGGTCATCCCTGCATGTATCACTTAGTTAATACTTTTTACTTTCATGATCAGATGAGTCGGTGTTTTGGCAATATTTGAAAAACTGCGGACTTTGATAAGCCCTTGGCCAAACGATGTAACTGAGTCGGCCGATTGCGACGGCATCAATCCAACTTTTCCGTTTAAACATGATACTGAACGCGACATTATGGTGGTTACTGAGGAACGGCGAGCTTTCACTGATAATGCTAGAAGTGAATCATTTTACAGGTAGTTATGATAGTGAAATCTGAAATAATACTGTTTGACATCTCACTGCACCACAATAAAAATTCAACCTGAATTTTTAGATTTTTGAGACTTTACTATCAAAAGAATTTAGCAGAATTTTAAATAAACTATTCTAATAATAGATAGCTGAACTAACTATTTGTATTATCAGCACTTAAACCAGTCGGAGGTTTTGCAGCTAAAGTGCCTGAATTTTTGCGACCTGTTGAAAGACGAGTTTTGGCTGTCACCTCGGTACTACATCTGCGATTTACCAGTGGCAGAGTAGTTCTGACTGCTGATGTTCCTGCTGATGCTATTGCTGCTGTTTTATACTTTGGATCTACTAAAATTGCAAAAAAAGAAATTCGCAATCAATTACCCTTACATGAAAAATCAACAGCCCAAACGAAGTCATTGAACTTCTGGAAAAGAAGACAATGAAAATTGTTCCACAGCTTACCAGCTAGATACTTAAGCAACAGCTTATCAACCAGGTACCTGACCAATAGCTTAACAACGAGATACCTGGCCAATTATTAGATAGTAATAATATGAAGGCAGTAACACTTGCAATATCTGTTATTTTGTGAAGTAGCTAATGGAAGTCGAGATTTCCGTTCCTCCATTGCAGTCCTGAAGTTACGTGGCATCGGGCTCGGACTACGTTGTGTAACGACAACTTGTGGTTGTGGCCGAACAACAGCCGTTTTGGGATGCTGTATATGTGTACGCCAAGGACCCTTATCTAAATGGCCAACGTCTTTGTCACTGAAAACATAAATTTTTAGCAGTATGTAATCAAATAAGTAGCTAGTACACATAAATCAGCAAACAAGGAAGTTTACAGCACGGATTATTTTCTTGTCAAGAGATAGCTGACTATTCAGGCCAACATTCATATTTGACTGTCCAGGCCAATATTAACATCGGTTGCAATGACATACCTGACCCTTTTTTCATTGAGGCGCTGCTCTGAAGTACCGTTGGCTGCTGCTTGGAGAACTTCTACAGCTAGTTGCTTCTGACTCCAAATCTCATCCTCCGCCTTTTGTTTTAGTTCGTCCGATTTGTCACTCTTGCTTCGGGTTTCAGCCCGGGATAGCTCACATGCATACTGAAAATCCAGAAAAAAAATCGGCTGTCTTTCACTTTGTACACGAATATGATCATTCTGATCAGTTAAAGTTTAGCAATAAAGATAAATCTTACAGAAATTAAGAAATGAATTAAAATTATAATAATTAGAACCTTAAAAAAATTATATCAAATATTTACTACAAGTACATACTGTTTGAATTAACTGTCGTGTTGATGAATTTTGCTCTTTGGAAAGTAAATCACGAATAATTCCTTCTACCCGTCGCAAAATCTCCTCATCCTGTGGTAAGTACAAATTTGCTTTTATTTTTGAAAGCATATGGCACAACTGCAATCTGCAAAGTATTTTATGACGATATTTTGGATCTTTAAAATCTCAAAAGATTTTGAAAATTTTAAAATTCTGAAAAACAGGGGCAAAATATTCATCATAACTAAAATAATACTAACACCAAAGTCAACTCGAGCAATTTCATTTTTCAAAGGAGTATATGCTCAAGAGTTAGAGCTAGTAAAGGAATTAAATTGACTTTAACTTCAGATACTTCTCACTTATTTACCCATCCCTACTCTATCAAATATTACGTCATAGGTAAACTGATATAGAATCAATAGTGTTATCCCAGAAAAAAACAAATGAGTAGAATTAGAGTATCATGTAATTTTATAAAGTTTAAAAATAAAAAATTCAAAGGAGAAAAAGTTTTAAAAAAGCCGGAACTTTACACAGTCAAAATTAACATGAATATATCAATCCAATAAGCGACAACCTATTAATTAAGCTTCAAAAATCAAGCAATAACCTAATGTTTGCTACTTTGTCGTTTGCCATTCCCAAAACTGGAGTCAAAAAATATGCATGGAAAAATTTGCGGCTGAAATTGGCGATAATTTCCGGAATCATGTCCAAAAATAATCGACGTCGATGACAATTCTGATGCTTTGCGACTGCTGTAGTTCTTTTTAACTTTAAAAATTTTAAATTTATTAATTAAACTGGTTATATTCAAGCCTAATTGAATCTCCAAAACCCTTACACAGTAGTTTTTTATTTTTTTTCAATGGTTTATTTTGCACAAGTTTCAAATTAATGAATCGAATTACAGTGAACAAAGAAGTCAATGATAGACTGGCGATCAGCTTCGCTTGGATTTTCTCGCATGAACAGAAGAAGTGTAACCGAAGCAGCGACACGACATGGAATCGCGCGCTGAAAATTATTAAAATCGGGATGACAAGATTAAAGATTATTTAAATTTCGTGGATTGCGCTGCGAAACGTCGGAATACCTAGAATGTTCCAAATCTCACAGATATAAATCCAAAGAAGTGGAGAGAGGAGGAGAATGGTTTTCCTGAAAAGTCTAGACCGAAATTAAACTATAGTGCAAAACAAAGCTTAAGCATGTGAAAAATTAAGTTCAATTGAATTTTCAGAAAATTTAATAATTTCGAACAAAAATGTTTACCGTCGTCAGCACCTCCTGTTTAAGCATCGGAACAAAAGAGATAAAGAGATCTTTGACGGGAATCAAATGTCGTAGCACGGCAATATTTTGTAGATAGGAATGTTGCGCCCGCCAGGAACTAGTTCTACGTATTAGTCGATTGCATCCTATTATTATATGATCCAACTGTAATCTGCTGATTTTCTGGAATTAAACTGCATAAAAAGGAACCGATATTTCCCTTCTATACATCGGAGATTTATTTTATTCAAACTGAAACTGAAATCAATGTTGAGATCGATGTTATTTGAATATCAATCCAAAAATGGTATTTCGTCAATTCTTGGAAGCTTTAAAATGGAATAAAAGTCGTTAGAAGTTTATAATTTCCTTCAGGTTATTTTTAAAGAATCCTGAAGTTTTTACACAATTATTTTGCTCAGAAACACATTTGTAGAGTGCTGGAAGAATTCGATCAAGACTACCCATCAAATGTCCAACAACTTCAGCAGGACTTCCACGAATCAATTCGAAAAATGGTGGTAGAAGAGATGGTTCATTCGGCAACAATTTTACAACCTGAAATTGATTCAGAAACGCTTCTGTTTCTTTTTTTTCAAAAAATTAATCAAACTATAGATGAAACCAAATGAATCGATTTTTTTTTCTTTCAATCAGAAATTCAAGCCTCATGAAATCCCGCAGCTGTTGCAGATCGAATATCATCGTCTGGGTCGCAACAAAAACCTTCCAAAATTGGTAATAGACGATCTTTGAAGAAATCTTTACCATATTTCAATACCATACACTATAAAGTAAAAAAAAATGTATCTTCCAAAATTGCGGAAAAAGGGTCCCTCATAAGGATCAGGTTTCTAAGTCTTGAAGCTAACAGATATCATAGCGTCTGAAAAAGCGATAAGTCAATGGAAGTAGTTAAATTAAGAGAGAATGAAAGTGATGGTGATAAGTTAGTTGAAAATCATCGTTCTCAAGTCTTTTTAGGCAACCTATCAGATTGAGGAGCATCGTTGTGCTTGCGCTAATTTCAGTATTCTCTAAACAAGCTAGAAAATGATACACATACAGGGAAATTGTAGGCGCACATGCGTCTGACAGATGTTTGAATATTCGATAGAGCGTTATTATTATCACTGGATGAGGAATACCGTGACAGATTGGTAATTCGAACGTAAGTATCTAAAAACCAGTTGTGGTCTCGTGCTGTCAACACATTCTGAAAAAGCTGGATTTAAAACTAGAGTCCCACTTGAAGGTTTCTGAAAAATTGGGACCGTTCCTTAATAAACGATTCCTTGAACCCAAATAACTTCTTACACTATGTTAAGTTGAAGAGCTCATTTAAATTATCATTTCCCTTTGCTGTATAAAATACCTGTAATAAATCGATCCATTGGCCAAGATTTTTAGCCACTACATTGAGCGTTTCATCCTGAGCACTTATTGCTTGTTCGGTGGAACGTCTCAAGAGCGGAACTATCGAACATTTCCGTTGATCTGTAAATCAGTGAAATTTAGGGAAGAATAAAAGCAATAAACTGAGAAAAAATGGAACTAATTAATTAATTACTGAAATACATTTGGTGAATTTCAAATAAGTCTATTCCTGCTATTCCGTTAGGAATGAAAGCAATAACTAAATGATATCCGCTTCCCGAGATCATCAAAATGCATTAACAAGATCAGTTCCTTGCAAACTATCATTAAACCAAATAGTTTGGAAGGAACCTGAGAAATCTCTTTGTAAAACAACGTAGTGATTTTAATTACAGACCTACATAAACCGGAATTAATAATCCGCGGTGTTTCTTTGATAGTGGCGCTAACGGTTATGTGAATATTACTCGGATGATGAAGAGAATTCAACCTTTTGATAAGAATGGGATGCAGAAAGCGATGGTGTTCAATGCCGCCTCACGTGTTCCAACTTCAGTATCCTTACACAGCTGCACCAAACACGGCACCAATGCTGACCCACAATCACTCGGATTCCTCAATACATCTTCATTAATTTTGCTTATCGTTTTGTTGGCACATCTACGCTTCTTATGAAGGCAGGACTGTGCCGTATCATAGAATTTATAGTATTTGCATAAGTGGTCCGGAAATCTCGTGGTTTGTAATTCCAGTTAATCATTTTAAAACGAAATGTGGTTAAAAGAAAAAGTAGACCCCGTACTCGGGCTGAGTACCTCAACGATTCGGCGACAACTGCCAGGTGTTGAGCCATGGAGCTTCGTACATTTGAATTCGGATCATTACAAAGCATTTGTACACAGGGTATGATGTCACGTCGAATACTGCAAAAGTATCATATCAGTAATGAAATGGAAGAAGAATAGAGAATATGGCACAATTTTGATCAGTATATTGGAGTTCAGTAATAAATTAGTAACAGAAAAGAATTTTCAACTTTTCACCTGCAACATACCTTGAAAATAAATCAGTTCCTGTGGTAGGGAAAGGAAGCAAAAAGCTGAGAAATAAAAGAAAGTTCTTCAATTTTCATGATTTTCAGCAGATGGATTAATTTGACACATAAAAAAGAAAAAAGACATAAAAGTAAATTCATCATCTCCTTTTTCTTGAATAACTTGGAAAGGATAATCTAATTTGTTATAATTTACATCTGACCAGGTTTGTTAATTAACTAATTAACACACTAAAGATTACTTGATAGTTTAAGAATCCTTTTTTCAGTTTTTTCTTCATGTTTGGTTCTATCCATTACTTAGTCAACTCAGTCTTTGATTACCTGATGGACAAGTTTTTACATATATTGAAGTGCAAAAGTACATGAAAAAAAGAACCCACTCGATGGGTTCCAAATTTGTACACAATTTATCAACTAATTTGGTTGCTAGTACACGTCGCTGTGCTCGCTGTGACGTTTCAGCTTGTGAAATAGTTAATGGTACAACCTGAAATCTAAAGAATTTTTAATGGTTAGCTAAATTTATATGAACAAAAATAATCACTTTGATTTCTATCAAATAACTGATTATCATTCCCTTTATCTGTAATTGTTATCGCTACTGCCTAACAATATTTGCATAATCTATTTGAAATTCCTTTTTTTCTTTTTTTGTAGATTTCAAAATTAATAAGAAAATTACTCGTTTTATTCTTTTTCCATGTTCTTTTCATTACTAACATTACTATCATTATCATTGATTATGATAGTCAGATAAAATCATCAAGAAGAGAAAAATTCCTGCAAAATAGGTAAAGAACCCACAATCTGTTTGAGTTGCGATACAGGTATTTGATCAATCACTTCAACAAGCGTTTCTAACCATGCTGCTGCCGTTACTGTATAAAAAGCTATGATTAAATTCAGTACATTGAAAATGAATAATTCACTATAACTTTACTCAATGATAAGTTATGGGACATTGATGAAAACGAAGTTTTATATTAGGTAGCTGTGTAGTTTCATAAATTATGACATTTAACAATTGTTTAACTTTAAAGAGATTATGTAAGAGGAGAAGTAAGAGTAAGGGAGTGGATAGAAGCATGCCAATAATACTGTAAAAGTAAATTCAAAATGGATTTGAAAAAGTGAATAAAACTCGCAATTGTCTTTTTGTTGCGTTGCATTCTGTAATATACCATTGAGGATCACATCACCAATACCTCTGAAATTTCCCGCTCCGATGAATTTACTTTTTTTTGCTTAATTGTAATAAACCGCTTTATTGCTCTGTTTTTTTTTTTTTTTTTTTGTGAAGAAGAAATAAACAGTGAAAATTCATTTACTTTGAAGTAGGAAGAGGAAAAATAAGTAACAATAACTGATTAAGATTAGAGCACTGTGAAATTTAAGCATATTTAAATTAAATATTCAAGTAATTTGAAGTTTATAGCCTTGATCCGTTACTTCAGATCTTGATTTACAGGAGTAGTAATTCGGCAGTTATATTCTGCTTTCAGTGGGGAATAGTTAAATCATTATAAAATTTTGTCGTTCTCAAAAACCTTTAAGTATTTCTGGATTATAAAAAAAAAGTCTTACGGAACATGAGCGATAAGTTTGCTATTTCGATAAATGTTTTTGTAGGTAACAGCTGCTTCACATTGTACATCCAAATTCGAACATTCTGCATTCAGCATTTCCTGCATAACATCACAAATAAATCGAATTTTGAAATTACTACAAAGAGAATCAGGTATTTTCTCATCTTTCTAACTTTTAATCCCGAAACTCTCTTCCTTTCAAGGAGATGATTGAAATTTCGGAGTTCTTCCATCTTTCCAGAATAAATAACTCAGTCTTCTAAAAATCAATGCAATGTTTGCAGTGTTATTTTTCATATACGATTTATTTTCGATGATTTCTTCAAGTTCTTAAATTCGAAATTAAACTATTAAAAATATGAATTTTATCATGTAGCGTAAAAAAGTCGTATTTTTAAGACTTTTGATACCAAATGTGGCCTTAAATAGATCAAGATTATTGAGGCATTAAAATACGAATTTAGGCGGGTAAAAACTATTAATTACTAGAACACAATTAAAATTGAAGCTAACCTGAACGATTGGCATGATCTTTTCGACTGTTTCATCACCATCGGTTTCTAGCAAATCGCTTAATGTTCGAATTATCGATAGTTTCTGAATTTCTCGTCCTGTCCTGAAATTTGACCACAATACAAATTTTAACCGAACTTTTCGTACTTTATAATAGTAATTGTTTCAATGGTTTCTGCAACGCTTTTGGTCGCTATTTTCTTAATGAACAGGAAAAACATTTAAAAAGAGTTGAATTTTAAAGTAATCCGAAAAAGAAGTAAAAAAAGACGTACTTGTTGTACCATTCATTCAAACAAATACTAAAAGCACCGATAGTGAGAATGGGAATGGGATGAAATGGAATTTGAGCTTTTTACCAAAAGAAACGAAAATTTTAGATAAATTTGATCATTGAGAAAACAATTCAAAAATATTTTAAAAGATGGCCAGAAGTGAAGTAAAAGTTAATTGTTGAATTATGAAAAAAATGTAATACTTGAGAATCTTGATTGCATCATCGACCGGTGATTGAAGTAATTCGTTAAGAACCGGGTCATTTGCTGCATTCAACAATAATTCCCAATCAATCTTGCTTTCAAATTGTTGAGTTTCTTCATTCTTTCCAGCTTCCAAGTCACTCATTTCGTTTGGATTTGAGTCATCCAAAGCAGTGACAATCTAAAAAATGAAAGTTGATATAACCAGATCCATGAGGCTTCCTTGGATATTTTATTTTTGATTCTTGCAACACTTTACGGCAGTGGGAAAATCGTTATCATTGAAAAATTTTAATACCAAACACACATTTCCGGAAACTTTTGGACCAGCGAAATTCAAAACAGGAAGGTTCAAGGAAAAAATTTTAAGAATGAATTAAAAATATCGATGTTGTAATTAATGGTAGCTAACCAAAAGTTATAGAAGAAGAATTATAGAAATTTCGACAAGCAAACATAAGCTGTTTATAAGCGGTAGAATAAACCGAAATCTTCTTATGAAAAATCTGTTTAAAATGGAAAGCTACATTTCACTAGTGGTGACATGCATTATAGGACACCGGATTAATGAATGTTTCGTTACGCTTCATATACGATAAAAAGCGCAATAAAATAGCGAAAATCAAAAAATCAAATGAATTGGTAGGAAAAAAGATCAGTGATAAGTGATAAGAGAAAAAGCAGAAGTAGTAACATTTTTTTTGCGGACAAAGCTAAATGTTTTTGTGTTTTTGCTATAAGCATCGATGGCGGCACTTGAAAATAGTTTGTTTGACGATCTTTGAGTCTTCCCTTACTTTTTCTTGTTATTTCAATTTACAGTGGAATGAAATGGAGAAGTGTAACAATCAGGAAGAGGGGATGAAAGATAAGAGATGATTGAAGAAGCTGAGGAAAGGTTTGTGCGGTTCAGAAAATGAAACAAGTTAAGTTATCTTATATGTAAATTAGTTTTTAATGTATTTTAAATGAACAGATGAATGGCTTGATTGACACAGATAAAATGAACCATTTACGCGGTAGGCTTACTTCCCACAAATATAAATAGAGTTAGAATTGTTTGTAATTTACAGGATGAAATTTTGAAAGGAAAGAAGGAGTTGAAGATGAATGAAAAATGAAGCATAAGATAGATTTCAAGCGGCACTCTGACAAACATCTGTTCAAACAAGTATCGTAATTGCTGCTTTTTATCACTATTATACTACTAATTGTGCATCTGTAGACGTTACGATGATAATTCTTATTAGACAAATTAATTATTTTTGAAGATAGGTGTCATAATTAAATTAAAAAATCAGTGGATACTGCAAGTACTTGCATGAGAGAAAAGATGAAAATGGTATGGTGAAACAAATTAATTTAGAAATAGAGAGGAAATCATTTTAAATAGTGATAAATATTTCGTCTAAAATGATAAATCCGGTGATATGAATATTTTCGATGAAGTAAGTGGTTGCTGCCATTAGATTTCCCTTCCAGTCATTTTGTCTCGTCGGTGTCCAGTACTGATATCAGCTGTTTGGTTTGATATGACTTTTTCCAATTGTCTACCAATTATTTTTCTTTTTCAAATAGTTCTCTGCATTGCTACGTTTCAATGTGATGCTTGTTAGTGTCGAAAAAACTTCCACTTATAAATGATTTGATGCGAGAACAAAACCCTTACATGCATATAGAGCTGTTGACATTAGTAATTTATGAAGTACAAAGAGAGAGAAAGACAATGTTTTTAGGGTGGCACACCTATCAAAGGAAATGTTACTAATATACTTTAAGCCTACTCGAAGATTCAAGAATATATGATCAGTTGTATTTCCACATTTCCTAGTCATAACGATAGCTAACTGATGAATGGTTGTTTAGACTGATTTAGTGACAGCTATCACATCGAATTACTGTTATTAAGGAGCCGTTAATGAGGATGATTATTTTGAGCATCAAATAGCAAAGGTAGAACAGAGGGAGGATAGCAATGAATGATAAACTGTGGGCGAAATAAACTGCGTATGATGTGGTAGTAAGTAGATAAGAGGTGAAGTGAAGCTCAACATTTCGAGGATAGGGAAACCACAGCTGCTGTTGTCATCTACCGTTAATCCATAATATGTATTCCATTGCCTTCAGACATCATTTAGTCTGTTTCTCTCAGAAATTTACTTCATTTCTCTCATCGATAGGGATGATTTATTTATTGTTAGTGTGGCAGAAATGATCACATAAGAAGAAACTGATAGATGCTAAATTTAATTTAATCTCATTTTCCCAATTAATTCTCATATTATCAAGAAAAATTGCACTTTAAATTTCCAACTTTTACGGTAATTCAGGAAATGTCATTAACAGCATCACAGGAATGAATTATCAAGATTGGATACATTATTCCAACAGTTTTGATAGGGAAATCCAAAAAGACATGCTTGCTGGCAGACTCTTCGCTCGTCAATTTCAATTGTGTGATTTATCAATCAGTGAGCAAGCTTGTTTCCTTTATTACCAAGTTCTAATTTGAATAGTTGTTTAATATTCAGTTGTGAGTATAAATGATTCCAGTTGTAGGTACCAGTAAGCTAAAATGTGAAGGGTAAGTCCTGAAAGAAGCAAAGGTCAAAGAATATTATTACCATCACCACTTCGAAGGTAGGGTTTTTCTAACAATAAACATTTCACGTCAATATAAATACTACTCAATATTATTCGCATACTATTATCTTAGTACCATTCAGGCATAATGACCTCTCATTTCCGCTTGGCTATCCTGAAACTCTCCATTTGAAAGTAATAGCAAAATGCTTACTTGTCTTCTCATCTCTTATTTACTTATTTGACATCAACGCCATGCAAATATAACGCTTCACTTCAGCCCGGTTACGGTAGCTCTAAAAGGTACAACGAGTGAGATCAATGATTTCACATCGCCTTTGATCTTAATTTCACAGAAGAGGACTCGGGAACTCAGGATGTTAGAAAGGGGGTGGGAATACGCGGGGTGAGGTGGAGAGTAGGGCAGTTAGGGTATTATCTCATTTAGCTCTTTCTTTCGACCCCAGTTTTGCAGTCATAGAGAACAATGACATCATAAGAGGATGATGCAACATTCTTCGTAATTAGTTTTGCTGACCTATAATGTGTAGAATCTTCCTCGTTTTTCCATTATACCTCTTATTCTCACCATTACCCGAAACTTGCCCAGTGCTCTTTACCCTTCTTACTAATTTTTTTTCACGATATTATAGAAGCACTCATGTCTGAATCATAATTCACATAGGAGTTAACGGCACAAATCAAACGGTTCGTGGCGGATTCGCATTTGTCACCAAGTGGTATTTGTTTGTTTTTTTTAGCATATCTGTGTTCAGCTTGCTGAAAAATCCTGGTCTTAATATAATTTGTTACTTTTAGATTCTATTAACGATTTTATTTTCGGCAAGACAAAAAATTAATGAAGTTTAGATAGCGAGGCAATATTATGATTTTAATTGATGAAATTAATAAGCAATTCAGAGATACACATGCATTCTTGAGTCCGAATCTGAATCCGGTAGCTATGCCGTTGTCGAGGCGAAGCTTCCTTTCAGCAGTATTCAGTCGAAAAGACAACGACGATACCCAGCATTTCGTCAATAGGTTATTTCACTGTCTTCATTTGTTAGAATGGCTGAACAATTAACTTTCTTCTCTAATTGCTTCCATAGATGGAATAGCACAATACGTAAGACATTCCTGTTTAGCTAAGCAGTCAGTTCTCTCTTTGTTCAAGGAGGTTAGCAATGTGATTTTTAAGCAGAAAGATTATGTGAAGAAAGAAGAGGATGGAAGCATATTGAGCCAGTTGTTCCTTAATAATAGTTTCTTTATTAATGCAATTTCAGTGAAGGTTCTATCAGTCAGGCAGCATGGTTTGAATTAGGTTGTGGTAGTTCGCTATCGACTCGGATGAAAGCAATGGAACAATTAGAATCGGTACAGATTACTTCATTGACGACCATCGTCTCTAGATCCCATACCGCCACCTTTCAGCAGTTCCAAACTTTCCAGTTATAAGTAGGATAGTTAACTTAAGGGTTTAAGTTTGAGACCGTTCGAAATTTTGCGGGATAAAAATGAATTTTCTGTTTGTAGAAAACATTTGCCCTCAAACTCTATACCCGAAAAACTCGGAAGAAGAAAAGAGAAGAATGTGTAAAACTTCAAACTATCATACAAATTATCAGATCGTTAGAAGCAGACGACTACAAATAAGCACCGTTGAAGCATTATATCATGAGACCAAAGATCTGTACAAATTGGATGAAGCAAAGGATTCGTTCTTAAAAACATTTATCACCATCACTGAATATCAATTGGATCAACTTGGTTTGGCAATGCGCGACACATTTTTTTCTGTGTGACTTTATTCCTCTTAAATTTTATACTTTTTTAGTACAAATGCGTTTAAAAAATTTTATATTATGTTAACGTACAAATCTTATGAACACTTTTAAAGAATCCAGTGAAAATTTTTCTTTCTAGTTAATCCGTTCCATGGGTCTCACTGATTTGTCTTTGGAATGGTTCGTAGCTCTGTCGATGAATGGTGATAAAGTAACAGGTTTCGAATATGATTTCATGAGTCTTCAGCTTAGTTGGCTGCGAGAAGTACTAGATCTAAACACGGTGGATCATCCTCATGCTGTTCGGGTACTTCAGCTGATACAGCAAGCCATAAAGTGCGACTGATTTATATAAAATTTGTATTTAAAAATTATGGGATTCACAAGGATATGTGTTCATGAAATTTTCACTCCTATTGTAATTTGAGCGGGGTTCTACTTGTTTCGAAGTATATATTCCTCAAATAAATATCCTATGAAATTTATAGGGAGGAATTTCAACTTATCTTTCGCTGATTGTTTTCAAAACTTCTGATTTCGCAGCGGCTAGTTAATTAATTTTATTTACAGAACAAATGCTGGTTTTATTACAAACAAAGAGATTGATGATGTTGTTCATAACATTTGCTTAAGAATATGTCGTAAAGCAGATCATTTGACTTATGAATGTTTATCACTATTAGGAATTATTTTAAAATATGGGTATGGTTTCATTTTCAATCCATTTTTTCTTGATTTTTAGCTGACGTGCTATTAAAGGAGACAATCTATAGAAATTCCGTGCTTATGTAAGCTACGGTATTACTGATTAAAAGTTGCAACTAATATACATTATTAGATACTTTATTTAAAATTAACTGTTCACATGTTTATTAGAAATGTAATACGTTTGCAGACGCATCCCAGATACGAAGTTGCTGATATTAATAACAACACTGTGTTTGGTAATGCATGAACAAAAATGGGGTCCCACTGCGTGGAACGTAATGAGAGATTTATTGGGCTCTCACTATGGTCATAATGTTATAAAGATGTTGCTTGATTTATTGAGAAATAGTACCGATTGCCCAAAAACAGAGGTTCTTGTGGGCGCTGTGTACTGTATCCATACTGCTCTCTGGAGTCAACAAGTAGGCTGTCTTTTCCTTTTAATGTTTATATAATACACAATAGTCCACGTAGCGTTTTTTATAGTAGATAAGTAATAAAATCTGTTTCTTTTTTTTCTCCTTGGAATTTTTAATGTTTATAGTTTGCCTGGTAGCGTTGCGATTTTTGTTTAATGCAGGTGGTACATTTTGAAATGTAAATCATTTCAGTATATAGCAACGTTCCAGGAAGTTTTTCTTGTCCATAATTATGGTTCTGGCAAATAACAGATATGAGGTAGAAGTGATAGCAATTAGAGATTTGTAAAGCAGTAAGTTCGTAAGGGAGAGTTGTCAAGATCTGAAGACGTGAGCGAATCTGAAATCATTTGGTTTATTTAACAGCACATTGATAATTTGCGTTGTCATCCAAGTATCGCTCTTCCAAACATGTTACCAGCAATGGAAGCAGGTCCTGAAGTTGTAAATGAAGTGTTGGTTGCCATCCGACGGTTACTGAATGCCAGCGGAAAAAATCTGCAGCAGTTAAGTTGGCACTGTATCTTGCAACTCCTCAAACAGGCTTTGAAGCTTTGTGAACAAGTATGTTCCACTATATCCCAATTTGAGAAGTTTGAAAATTCCCCTGAAATTTCTATTAGGTGTGGAAAAAATTAGTCACTGCTTTATTTTAGTGTTTCTACGTAAAAAAAAAAAAAAACGATCAATTTTAAT